ATGGCCCCTGGGCCCGAGGACGAGCCCAAGATACCGAAATCGAGGCAATACCTCGGCCATGTGCAGAGGGGGTACGTATGGGGGAGGGGGAAGGCTTTTCTTAGGAGGCTGCTCCTTAGAAGGTGCGGGCCTTCTCTGTAGATGTAAGGCCGGCCGCCGCGGCGTAGCCCGTCAGTCCGACGGCCTCAGGTGGGCCCCGAACTCGTCCTTCCCGAACTTCTTTGCGACGGACGCCCCTCCTTTGCTCGCGAGCTGAGGGGCGCCCGACCTTCTCTTGCCGCGTGGCGGCTCGGCTGAGCTGGCGGCCCCCGTATGTTACACGGGGGGCGGGCCGTGCCCCCCTTCGGCCCGCGGGCTGGGGACGGCCACGCCGCGGCGCACGGTGCGCCGCCTCCTTCTCTTGGCGTGAGCTCCTCTAAGATGTCGTGCATGCTGAGCACCGCTTCTGAGGACCCTGCTCCTGTCCTCCTTGTTGGCGGCCTCCTTGCATTCACAATCTTCAGAGCTGTTGAAGACCCTGCTCCTGTCTTCCTTTCACCTGAGGTTGTGGTAGGCTCATCACGCCTCGCTGCTGGGGACCCTGCTCCTGTCCTCCTTTCAGCGGGCAGGTCAAGTCGAGGTGGTGGTTGTTGTTGGTAGGGTGGAGGTTCTAGGGTTGTTTGTCTTTGTTCTGCCTCGCAGCTGAGGACCCTGCTCCTGTCCTCCTTACTGCGGGCGTGCCTGCTGGAGGTTGGTTCTGGGGACCCTGCTCCTGTCCTCCTTTTCGGTGTCTCCAGGGCGTGCTCTTCGAGCCTCGCTGTTGAGGACCCTGCTCCTGTCCTCCTTTCAGCGGGCTCTGTCATGGTTGAGTCGTTCCGCACTGCTGAGGACCCTTCTCCTGTCCTCCTTTCAGCGGGCAGGTGGTGTCGAGGTGGTGATGGTTGTTGGATGGATGGTGGTTGCGGGGTGGGTAGTCGGTCGGTGGTGAGTCCCATGGGTTGTAGATGGTCGTCTTGAGTGTCTATGGGCAGGTCGTGGGGAGATCGTATTGTTGCTGGGGTTGTGGTGTGGGTTATGGGCGCACTTGAGAGGCATCCATGCGCCGACTTCAAGTGGGGTTCGTGGCGGCCCCACCTCGTCCCGCTATGGCTAGGGGTCACGGTGCCCTCGGTGGGGGCGAACCCCAGGCCTGGTGCTTGCTGCTGTCGTCGGTGGGGGATGTCTCGGCTGCCTTCTGCTTCGCCGCTTGGGCGATCGGGTAAGCTCCTCCTTCGCCATGGGGGTGGGGGGGGGGTGGCGAGCTAGGGCGGACCGCGGGGGCGCGGGTAGTGGCCGTCCTACCCCCCCCCTGCCCCTCACCATCCCCCCTGGTAGGCGCGGGCAGTGCCCGTCCTGCCCTCCCACCCTTCGAGCCCGTCTCGAAGTTTGATCCTTTCCTCGCTAGGGCACGTTGACTTGTGGCGTGGTGTGGTAGGACGTTCCTTGGGTCGTGGGGTGTAGCTGGTCGGTGGTGCTTGGCAAGAGTGGAGTGGGTGTGTAATGCGGCTCGCATGTGTCCGCTGACCTCTTGCTCTTGCTGCCGCTGCCTTCAGCAATACTACAAAACGTGGCGACTTGTGCCTGGGTGTTCCCTCACATTCGGGGCTTCCCCAGGACTTGCGCCCTAACGCCTCTTGCAAAACTTGGCGACGCTGCCTGAGGTGTTCCCACGCGCTCGGGGCTTCCTCAGGACTTGCGTCCTGGCGCCTTTGAGCTTGTCGTCGGTGACACTCTTCGCGGCGTTCGTCTTCGGCATGAGGCGGCACTTCGTCTTCTCGTTCTATGTGGTAGGCGTCGTTGGTGTTCAGGTTCTGGCTGGTGGGCGCAGCGGTTGCGGTTCTGAGGCCCCATCTAGCCACAATGTTGCCGTCAAGCAGGTCGGCGATGGTGAAGTCGATCTCCTCTTCGTTTGCCGTATGCATTATGTTGCGGAGGTCGTCGCGGGTGCCGTTGTCGAGGATCTGTATGGCGCAGAGGTCGTAGTGGTTCGTCGGGGTCTCGTAGACGGTCGTCAGGTTGGCGATGTACCGATATTCTGGGGTCTGTCTGATGATCGACTCGGCCGAGATGGCTGCTACGAAAGGTACGTTGGTCGTGGTCGCCATGAAGATCATACGCAAGACCTCTCGTGTGACGTTGTTGGCGGCAAATATCTCGTCGGCAATGGTCTCGGATACTTGATGCGTTCCCCAGGGTGCCTCTGGGGTGCGCCGCTTGCTTTCTCTCCTGCCTAGAACGTCGGTTGCCTCGTGTAGGTACCAGGTTCGCCGTGGGAACTCTACGTAGATGGCCGCTACCTCGCCATGTAGGATCCTGCGTTGTGCTCGCCGAAGTACTGTCGGAAGTTCTGAGGTCTGGCCATCGCTGGGGATTGCGATCTGCGTGTAGTCCAGGCCGCTGATGCTCGTGATCCCGTTGCTGGCCATGATCTGTTGGAGGTCGGCAGCCTTTTGAGGGCGGTCGGTGATGAAGACGATCTCTTGGCGCTCGGCTGGTTCTGCAGGCGGGCTCGCGGGTGGTCTGCTTGGTGATGGCTCGATTTGGCGAATACTTTGGGTGAGACGGGCGACGTCTCGAGGAGAGGCAGCGGCGTGGCGTCGCACGGGTAGGCTGGCTTGTCGCTGAAGGTTGGGTGTCGTCCTTGCTTCTTGTTGGCGTTTGTGGCCTCGGCGATGGCGGCGAGGTTCTCTGCTATTTGCTGCTCCGACAGAGGCTCCGCCGTCTGGGTGTGCCAGGCATGCCAGGATTTGCGGCAACGGTGAGCCACCGATAAGTGCTTGATGAGCCTCGGAAGAGAGTGGTGCTCGGTCTGGCAGCATCGGCACGCGGTACCTGTCGCCCAAACGCGCGGGTCTTCGTCGTCTGGATGGTCCCTGCCCATATGTATTAGCATGTCTTGCCTTGAGGCGACTCGGCCGCAGGCGTAGCAGACGTGCTTCTGGTTGTTGGTGTCGTCGCAGACGTCCAGCACTTCAGTTGTGTGATCTGCCGAGGTCATCCGGATGTCCTTCTGGAGCTTGGCGCCTTGAGCTTGGTCGCGAGTGTGGAGGATGTATGCCTTCGAAGCTGCCTTGACCGCGTTGGTGAATAGCTTCGGCTTCTGTCGGGCCCAGTTGATGGTGTCGCGGTCGTGCTGGGTTTGGCTGGGCCACCTCTCTTGTGGTACGTACGTTCGTAGGTAGTCGAAGTCTTTCTTGAGCTGGCGGCTCCATGTGCCCTTTCGTTGGCGCTGGCCGTCGAGTAGCTGAAGTAGGACTGCTGGGGCATTATTCAGGAGTCTAGGCAAGTATCGTAGCCGCGCGATCGACTGGTGGGTGATGAAGTCGGGTACTCCTGTCTTGGCGATTGCCTCAGCCTCGGAGATGTGCTGGTCGGGTGAGTTGGTCTTGGGTGGTGAAGCTGCGACTCGGTATGGGCCCATGTACTTGGCGGATATGTGCTTCAGGTCCTTCAGGGCCAGGTCGCTCCAGACATGGTGGCTGTAAGTAAGCGAGGATGTCGAAAAAGAGTGGACGTACTTGACCTTGGATTTCTTCGAGGGCTTCTTGCGGCGGAGGATCTGCTTCTCAAGAGGCCGGGTTGCACCAAACGTACGGTTGATCCTTAGGCAGATCTCTGGCCCCATGACCCCGCCCGCCGGGATGATGGCACCGAGGGCTTTCTGTTGCGTTACCAGCTGCACCTTGATAGCAAGTCCGTCCAATTCTTGGTATGTGATGCCCTCCTTGGCTATCCGTTGTTTCTCCTTCTTGCCCCCCGCGCCGTAGTGCATGAGGATGGCCTTGGTCTCTTCTGGGTGTGGCTTCAGGCCATGCTGGAATGCTGCTGTGCAGAGCCTGGCAGCTGCCAGAGCTGTCGTGTAGATCAATTCCTTGGCGTTGGCGGTCGAGTTGTAGTCGGTGAGGTCGTCGACGAAGGACATGTTCCTGAGCGCGCTTCCTTCGTGAGGGGTTGGTGAAGAGAGAAGCTCACTGCAGGCCTCTATCTCGTGTCCGCCTGTCTGCTGTCCGTGGGCCTCTTCCTCTCGAACTGCCTGGTCGATCGCGCTCAGCGTGATGGCAAAGTGTATGTTGAAGGCGACATTCGCGTATGGCACTCCAGGTCGGGTGCTGGTCCGAGGCAGCTGGTAGTGCCTTGCGCTCTTGGCTGTCATCCAGTTGGAGGTGTGGTGATCTGCGATCCTGTGGCAGAGGTGCTCGTCGTCGATGTGCTGGTTGTTGTAGGCGGGTTGCTGGAGTCGTTCCTGTAGAGCTGGTCTGATGAAGTCGGGAATGTCGATCCGTTCGATGAGCTCGTTGAGCTCGTCGGCGGTGGTCGGCAATTGCATGCAGAATTCCCTGATGACGGAGTGGAAGGCCTCCCTGAGGTCCAGGAAGGTGATGCTGCATGATCTTGATCTCCTCTGGCAGTCGCTGATGAAGGCGAGGCTGGTGTGAGTGATGAAATCCGTGGCCATCTTGGGACGGGCGCCGCACTGGGTTGCTTCTAGTAGCTCAGGTAGCAGGCCCTTCACGCGGGATCGGAGGAAGGTGCTGTGCACCTTGCCGATGGTGTTGTTGAGCAGGATGCCGCGGTATGGTTTCTGGAGCTCCATGGCCCCCTGTCCCTTGTGGAAATACGTGGAGTACCCACCCTTGGCGGCGATGGGCTCGGTGCTCTCGGAGTGGGTCTTGACTAGGACGGGGTGGAGCAGGCGAGCCACCCCTTCAGGGCTGGCTCTGGACATGTCGTCGGTGAGCTGGTCAGGGCCTCCTCGGCGGCCTCGCTTGGCGGCGGCGAGCTGGCTGGTCAGCTGGTGCTTGGGTATTATGTTTTGGATCTTAGGTCCTGGTCCTGCGTGGCGGGTCCTCTTGTTGTAGTCGGCTGCTAGCCCGTCTGCATCCGTGGCAATAGCTTGCTCAACTTTGCCGTAGAGGGCTAGGGCGTGGTCGGCGATCTCGCTCTTCTTCGTGAGGGGCTCCCCGTCGTCGTTGGTGCGGATGATGGGCGTCGGCGGCTTCTTTGACCTTCGTCCTCCGAAGGCCAGTAGTCGCTTGGCGTACAGAGCCTCTAAACGGGGGGCGTGGTCGTCGATCGCTGCACCCATCTCGTCGGCGGTTCTCTCAAGGAAGTCGTCGCGGTCTGTCGTGGTCCACTTCTGCAGGGTCGACTTAGACGTCCTGGGGAATTGGGGAAGGGCGTCAAAGTAGTGCTGGGCGCTGTGCGCGGTGTTGGCACCGTCGGATTCCACGACATGGGAAGCTAGGCTGGGAGTGCTGAATATGATAGAGGCCACCACAAGTTTCACGTAGTCGCTGAGATCGGCCAGGGCACTCGCATCGGCGGGGTCGGGCAGGAGGGCTTCCATCGCGATGATCTTTGCCGTGTAGCGTAGCCTCTTGTCACCGAAGTGGCTGGCAATCCCGTTTTTCTTGGCGGTCCGTGTCGTCTTGAGTATCGAGCGGCGAACTCGCAGGAGAGCAAAGGACCGCCTGGTGAGGTAGGGCTTGTGTGGGGCGCGGCTGTTGGAGCGGAAGCACTCGTGCGCGGCCTCCGTGATCTTCTCAGTGGCTATGGCGAGGTGTTCGTTGAGGTTGGTGTCCCAGGGCGGGTGTTTGACCCCGTCGAGTTTTTGGCAGAACTTTTGGCGGCGCCCTTCGTCGGCTAGCTTGCTCTCGTGTAATTTCGGGATTCCTTTGGTGACGGACGAGATGATCTGGTAGGCAAGCTGCAGCTTGACTGGGTAGTGGTCGTCCTTGGTCTCTGGGTCTTGGCCGCTGTCTATGCCGTAGAGCACGGCGCGCTCCTCGATGGAGTCGATGTAGCCCTTGGGGATGGTGACGTAGTCGATGTGATGAGGGTCCTTGCCCGAGTGCCAGGATGATGCTCTGGCCCATGGCTGACGAAGGTGTTGGCGGCCGCCAGGTGGTTGGTCAGGAGCAGCTCATGTAGGCGGTGTCCGTTTGGGCCCTCGTTTTGCTTGAAGCCCTTGTCGCCAATGGCCGTGCTGGTGATGTTGCCTGTCCTGGCATTTGCGTCGAAGAAGATGATGCTGACTTGGTGCCTTTCGGTATTCTCCGCGAGCTTCTTCCTGTAGCTATCCTTCTCGGTCGCGAGGGCCTTCGAGCGCGGGGCATGGGCGACGGCAAGCGCGTGTCTGAAGCCAGGGGCGGCGACGCGAACGATGCGGAGCCAGGGGTCCTTGACGATGACTGTGAACTGGTCAGGTTTGAAGAAAAGCTTCTTTTTGCCGCTCTTGCCGTAGGGTTTGCTGAGTAGAACATGAAGCTCGCAGCCGTAGTGGAACCCTGTGTGGCCGCTGGAAATGATATGGTAGCAGTTGGCGTTGGCGCATCTGGCGTCGTCGTCTTGCATCGCGGGCGCCCCAGGGTGTCCTTGCCTCCTGGATATCAATGCTATGGAGGTCCTCGTCGTACACGCAGGCCATCGTGGTCTTAAGCTTGTTGATCTTCTCTTTTCGACGCTTCGATCCTTCCTTTGGCTCTCTCCCCGGCTGGACGTTGAAGGTGGCGATGTTTATTTCTACGAGAATCTTCTTGTCGCTGGACTCGGAGGGGTTGTGAAAGTGTCGGGCCTCGGCGGTCGTCTCGACCCTGTTCGCTGTGAGATTGCCGTGGCCGAATGCGGGCTATGCCTCCTTTGTGTTTGGATCCGCGTCGATCAGGAACTCCCAGTCCCGCTGGGATGCGCCATCCATGACGCTTGCCCACTCTGGCTGAGGAGGTATAACTTCTTGCAGGCGTCCGTGGTTGGCGGCGGCGTCGGCAACCTCGTTCCACGTGTTGTAGTGGTGGGCGTGGACGTGCTGCAGGTCGATCTTATTGCTGACCATGTCGTAGAGCATGCAGAGTGTCCTGACGAGCTTGGGGACGTGGTCGGTGAAGGCTAGCCTCTTCGCGAGCTGCAGAGCGCCGAGCGAGTCCGTGGATATAGTGGTGATGTGGAGGGGGTTGTAGTGTATCACCCAGGCGAAGGCCCATATCAGGGCTGTGATCTCGACGGTCGTGGAGGTGGTCTCGTGGTCGACGTTGTCCTTGAGGGCCATGTCGGTGCCGCTCTTGTGCTTCTCTATGATGGCCCCCTGGAAGCTGAAACCGTGGTTGTCGTCACCTACGATCACAACGGACCAGGCGTCGTCGCTCGGCTTCTTCGGGTTTTTGGAGCCGTCCGTGTAGAGATGGATCCTTGCTCCTTCCTGGAGTGGTCGTTGTGGGTGGTGACGGAGCATGTCGTCGGCTGTCTCGTTGAGGGACTCGTCGCAGAGGTCAAAAGTGATGTGAGGAGATGGTGATTGCTGTATCGTGTGTGGGATGGTTGGTCGCTCGTCGAATTGTACGCTGCGCTGCTCTGGCATCGGGGGTGGCATGTCGGGTGATGTCGTTGGCTGGTTGGGCGGTGCTGGGGGCTTGAAGTTGGTGGCTCTGAATGGTTGAGTGGCCTTCCCTCTCGCTCGGTGTAGGCTCTGGCCAGCAGTGTGTGTCTGTGTTTGGGCGTCGAACAGTCGCGTCGATGTTGGGGGGAGAGGGATAGCAGTGGTACGAGAGCGGAAGGGTTGCATGGCGCGTCCCCTATCGGTATGCTTGGCGTCTAGGTATGTGGCTTCGATGTCGTAGATCTCTCGTGGATCTCTGCAATTGGCTGCCTCAGGGATGGTTGGTGCTGCGTCGGCTCCTCTGGGCGTCTGCGCCGCTTGGCTGCGCATCCAGGGCATCTGCAGTGGCGCAGCTGTTGGTCCCGTGGCGTTGGCTGGGTTGGCCTCTGGTGGGCCGTTGGAGGTCCCGTGGTTCTCTCTAGGGGGGGAGTATGGCGATGCAGAGAGGCCGGCCTCGGGGAGTCTCCGAGGTTCAGCCGGTGGTGGCCTGTGGAGTAAGTCTTGGTGCTGCTCCTCAGGTTGTTGCAGTCCTTGCTGCTGCGGCAGCTGCAGTCCTTGCTGCTGCTGACGTCGGTTGGCCTCCTGGTGGGGCTCCTCGTTAGGCGCTTCATGAGAAAATTGATGCGGCGCCTTTGGGCCAAAGTGGCTGGTCGCCTGGTTCGCCATCTGATGGGCGCGTCTCTTGGGAGCGGGTCGGTCGGGTCGATGGGGGCTAGCCCCGTCTGGCCTCGCTGGCCGCCTGGGTGGTGTGGTTGGTGCACTGCAGTTGTCGGCCGAGGGGATGGTCCTCGGTCCGACGGTTGGTGCAGTCGTGGTTGCTAGTGGCTGCGCGCTGCCACGGTCGTAGTGCTGGTCCCAAGGCGCGGCGGCAGAGTAGATTACCCACTCGCAAATGGTGTTGAAGCTAATCTTTTTATTGGGTTTGCTTTTTTGTGTCGCAGTCGCTGGTTGTGGAGTGCTAGGTTGCGCGGCCGTTGGCGTCAGGCGGTGTGCTAACCCACAAGCTAACACCGCTGAGGCGGTCGGCGGCCTCCCGAGTGGGGCCTGTGGCTGTAAAGGCGTCTGGGCCTGTCGCTGAGTGTCTGGCACCGCATGGGTCGCACAGCACATCTGCTGGGGCTCAGTGGTTGCTCCGTCGAGCTGGTAGTTACGTATAGCCACTCTGAGCGGGCTAGGTGCTCGGTCTTCTGGTAGGGTTGTGGTGGGACTCCCCCGCTGGGCCAGTTGCCCCCCAGCGGGGGAAGTCCTGCTCAGTTTTTTGTCGTGTCAGAGCTTGAACCCGAGCTGCCCTCTTGACTCTCGGGGTTGAAGCGCCTGCGGTCCATTGGGTTGTCGAATCCGTCGCCGTCATCCAGGATCCGTACCTTGCGCGCGGGCCTGCTGTGAGTGCTTGCCCTTCGGAGTGCCGGTGGTGGTGCAGATCTGGCACGGTCGGGAGTGGCGATGTGGAATCGTGCTGGAAGTGGCTTCGGGGAATATGGTTGGGTGGGTGCGAAGGGGGAGCCGACTTCGAGCGTAATGGGGGATCGTGGGGGGGAGTCAGGGTTCCCCAGTAGGGTGGTCTGTGCGTGGACGGTCGGACATGTCGTGGGGAAGTGGGATCGTCGGGGAGCGGCAAGGACTGTGCCCTCTGTAGGGGGGCGGCCATGGGTGTCGGGGGGGCAGGAAGGGGCCTGCTCCCCAGGAGGCGATTGGTGTCGGTTGCTCGTCGGGGGGGGTCGGCGATGCTCGGACTGTCGGAGTGTGTGTTGAGTCGCCTAGGTCGTGGTCGTTGGGGTCGTCGAAGCTCTGGTCCTCGGCGTGTCGTGTGGGATGTGGTGTGGATGTCTCGGCCAAGAATCCTTCGTGAGTCTTCGGGTTCTTCTGGGGCGTTCCGTCTCCCGCAACTGGCGTCGGAGCAACTCCCGAGGGGGATGCGAGGTCGATGAGGGGGCCGAGTGGTTGCGGTGTCGTAACTGGTGGTGGGAGTGGTGATGGGCGGTGTGCTGGTGCTTGTGTCTGCTGGTTGTTGTGCAGGTCGGTGGCCTGGTGGGGCTTTGGAGTCGCTGGGCGCGTGCAGTTGTCGCCGAGGTCGACGGAGCGATCCTCGATGTTCTCGCTCCCACAGTGCCTGCACCCGATGATCTCCGTCTTGGCGCTGGTGTAGTTGCCGCGCGACTTGCAGAGGCTGCAGTAGAAGGGCGGCGTTAAGCCATTCGGAGATCCTGAGATGAGGGAGCGCCGCGATGCACTGCGCGTTCGGGGTCTCCATCTGGATTAGCTCGGCGTAGTGCGATTCACGGGTCACGTCGTAGTCGAACTCGTGCGACGGAGCGATGGCGTGGAGGGCGGAGCGTATGTTGTCCCGCTGGTAGGCCTCCTCGTCGTCGGCTTGGGCTTGCATCTTCTGCTTCTCGTTTTCCGTGGTGAGCGCACTGGCGACGCCGTCGAGCATGTCAGTGTCGATCCTGGGTGCGATGCTGTCGAGCTGCTCCCGCAGGGTCTCCTCGAGAAGTGCTTGGTGTCGATGCTCTTCCTGTTGTCGGGCCAGCTGTTCACGATGATGCTCTTCCTGTGATTGTCTTTGTGCCTGTGCGGCTTGTAGCTCGGAGTTGGCGAGCTGCTGCTGCTGGTGTATCTCTGCCTCGTATTGGCCGTATCTCTCCAGGAACTGCTCACGTTGATGCTGGTCGTACTTGGTCCTGTGGTGCATCTGCTGCTGGAGAGCCTGGGCCTCGTTGAAGAAGAGCTGGTGCTGCTGGGTGGCCCGTAGGTGCTCCGCTTCTTTGGCTTCGAGCTGGTCGCACTTGTTCTGGATGTGGCGCTGCGCCTCGAGCTGGAGCTCCGCCTGCTGATAGACCACCTCTCGCTCCCTCTGGACTGTGTAATGTTCCTCCAGGAGCTTGTTGGCTGCGATGGCGGTCTGCTGCTGGATCACGTGCTCCTGTTGGATCTCCTCTCGCTTGCGGTCTGCTTGGGCTTCCGCGATCTGCTCAGCTATGTCGTTCTTTCTTTGCATCTCCTGGGCTGCCATGACTTGCGCTGCCTGCTCCTCGAGACGGAGGTCCTGGTTCATCTGCTCGATCCTCTGGCCCTCACGCTGCAGTCGTTCGTGCTCGCGATGAAGTTGTTCGCGCATCTCCTGCTGGCGGGCTGCGACCTCAGAGGTTGGTGCAGTGCTCGCCTGGGAGGCCGTCTCCGCTCGAATGGCGTCCAGCATGTGGTAGGCCTCCTGGCGCTGCTGCTCGTAGGTGAGCTTCTGACGCTCGAGGTCGTGTCGCAGCGCGCGCTCGTGGTTCTCGATCCTCTGCGCTTCCTGCTGCATCTTCTCGGCGTAGAACTGGTGGAAAAGCTCTTCTCGATGTTGGGATGCACGCTCTTGCTGAGCTTCTTGTAGGCGGAGTGCTTGTTCGGTAGCGTTCATGGCCGTCTTGGAGAGCTTCTGCTCGTGATGCACGAGCGTGTCTCTGTTCTGCATCTTCAGTTCGGCAAAGCACTGCCGCGTGGCCTCCTCCTCCTCATATTCTTCTGACTTTTTCGGAGCTCGGCGTTGGCGATGCTGGCTAGGTTCTTTCCTTCTCGGCGTGCTTCCTCGTCTTTCCTCCTGAGCTGTTCTGCGATGGTGCTTGATGGGGAGGCCGGCCTGCTCGAGCATGAGGATGGAGGCTCTCGGCTGGCGCGACGGCGAAATGGGGTGCTGGCCCTTTTGTTTCTTTGCTTCTTCCTGTCGTCCTCGGAGTCGGCCTCGCAATCGGTGTCGGCTTCGGCTGCAATCTCCAGCTTGACGTCTGTGATGAGGCGGCGCAGGTCGGAGATGCGCTGGGTGTTGGCGTCCGCCTTTGTCTGCAGGGCTTCCTTCTTCTCGTGGATATCTTTCTGCTCCTTTGCCAGCACCTCTATCTGAGACCGATATTGTTGTAGCCGTACTCGTGGATCAGTGGCCATCGCGAGCATGCATTTGATGACTGAGGCCTCTGTGAGCAACTTGCTGGCGTCAGCCTTGGCGGACTGAGCGCCGCTGATCTGATCTGCAACTCGGCCAAGCCTCTGTTGGAGGTTTCTCGTCCAAAGCTTCCTCATGTCTGGATCCTCTGGCGGGAGGCCGAAGGACTCATGGTCGCGAGATATGGTGAAGGGAAGCTCCAGCACTGCGTCGGCGATGGCCTGCTGCCTCTTGCTGAGAATGTAGTCCTGGATGTGGACGGCGGCCTTCGTCCTCGAGGCGGGACGGCTCCAGGACCGCTTGCCGGGGTGCTTAGAGCTCCTCCAAGGCCATGGCTGCTCGCCCACTGCGGGCCCAGGGTGTGTGGTCCCTGCTCCTGACCACCTTTCCCCTGGGCCCCGAGCGGGCGCCTGGGTTGTGGACCCTGCTCCTGTCCACCTTTTCCCAGCGCCGCGCTGCGGCGCCTCGGTGTGTGTGTGTGTGGTCCCTGCTCCTGACCACCTTTCCCTCGAGGCGCCGCGCTGGTGCTCCCGTTCCTGCGTCATCTGGTCGACGGGCTGGGCGCTGTGGTGGCCGTTCAGCACCTGCGCCGCGTCGATGATGCGGAAGAGGGTCCTCGCGGCAGCTCTCTTCTCCCGCTGCCGCCTGTGCCAGGCGGGCTCGCCCTCGCGGGGCGTGGCGGCAACAGCCGCCGCGGCTGCGGCGCCGATGGCGCGCTGCGCGCGGCCACGAGCGGCGGGGGCGACCGACGAGACGACGGCCCCGCCCCTCCTCAGCCCATGGCTCCTCCTCCTCCTCCTCCTCCTCCTCCTCCTCCTCCTCCTCCTCCTCCTCCTCCTCCTCCCCCGTCTGCGCGCCGCCAAACGTCGTCGAAGATTCGGGGACCTGCGGCGGACCCGCGGCGGGACCGCAGAGGGCCCTGGGCGGTGCGCGGGCCCGGGCGTGCGCGAGAGACGACGGGGGCCCAGGCCTCCGACGCCATGTTTCTTTCGCGGCATCGACCCCGAGAGAGATCTCGACCCATTTCTCGGAGCCGCTTTCTTTCATCCCGAGTCGTCGTCTTTGACGGCCCCAACCAAGGCCCGGGGAAGGGCCCCAGAGGCCGAAGGGAGCGAAAAACCTTCCGTCGTGATTCTGCCATCCGAGGCGGGCGCTGATCCATAGCCGCCGCTTGGGGGGGTCGATCTTCGCGGACCTCCACAGGCGGTGGATATGGATATATTCGGGCCCACAGGAGCCAAACTATATCTGTATCCATCGCCCGCCGGGGCACCAGGACGTCGGTTCCCAGGCGGTGGATGTGGATAAATCCCCGCCTCGCATGTCATTGCGCAGGGGGTCAGGGGGCACAGGAGCTCCAAGTACGTCGGGACGGGAGGGCCCTGCCCCGAGGCCCTCTTCGAGGAGGTGGGCGGCGGCTCGACCGGCCACGACAGGCTGGGGCTCCTCGCTGCAGTCACCGCCACCGCTGGCGACGCCGACGACGACGACGGCGACGGCGACGACGACGACGAATGTCGAGTGAGAAGACAGCGACCTAGCGCCTAAGCCTCTCGAAAAGATCGAGACGAAGATTTTTCATCGTTTTCGGCCTTTCGGGGCCCGTACCAGGCCTCGGGACCGTCAACAAACGATTCGGGATAGAAAGCTGATCGTAAAAGCCCCAACCACGACGACAACGGCTCCCGCTCAATACAGTCGAGCATCTGATTAAGAAACCTCCTCCCGAGAAGCTGGGTCAGCGTTTCTGAGTCAATTTTCCGGAAAGCTGGCCCAGTTTCTTGTGCACGTTCGCCCCTCCAGCGTCGACAACAGATATTGGCCCAGGTTTGTTGAAAGACACTCCCAGGAAGCTGGCCCAGGTTTCTTAATCATAGTTTTCTTGATCACATTTTCGGCTGTACTTCCCCACAGTTTATTCCGAGATGCCCTGGCCAGAGAGGTCCCCAAACTCCGGAGCCGCACTCTCGATCGAGACTTTCTCGACGTCCACTACTGCGACGGCAACTGCTCCCGCTCGAGACCCCCTCGCAGTTTACTCCGAGACGCCCTGGCCCGAGAGGTCTTCTAACTCAGGAACGGCGCTCTCGCCCAAGACTTCCTTGCAAGTCATTCGAGTTGGTGAGGGCCCGACTGCTGCGACAACGGCTCCCGCTCGAAACTTCCTCGTAATCTATTCGCTCGCGCCCGGGTCATACGCAATCTCATTCTCAGAAATGGCGTCCTCGCCCGACTCTCGCAATTCGCTCAGGTTTGTGAAAGCCCAGCTGCGACGACAAAGGCTCCCGCTTGATACTTCTTACAGTCTGCTTTTAGATGCCCTGCAGGCCCCCAAGCTCAGGATGGCGCTCTCTCTCTCTCTCGAGAGAGATTTCCTCGCAATTCGCTCAAGTTTGCGAGTTGCCCGCGAACGCGCAGCTTCCATCTGGGCCACTGGGGGCGCGGCACGCACACGGGAGCTGGAACGACAAGAGGCCCTCCCAAGAAGGGGGTTGTGCCATAGACCCAGCGAGCGGATACAAGGGAGCAGGAGAAACACATGAAGGTCACATCGGCGTCACCCCAACATACTAATACCATGTGTGCGTCGCCTCCCCAGGGGCGACGCGCGCACCGAGGAATCTTATGGTATATGCGTCGTGGCGGGCGCTTTCTGGCCACAACGCTCGGGAAACGATATACTACAAATGGGTATACTATATGTTCGGGTCGGGCTCGCGCCTCTAAGGAGGACATGTAGGATTAGTATGTCTCTGTGCGTCCCATCATATTAGCTTGTGGGATGACATAGTCGCAAGATGGGCGTCGGGATCGTCATCGACGTCGTCGTCGTCGTCGTCGTCGGCGTCGTCGTCTTCCCAAGCGTCTTGGCGCCGCGAGAGACTCGCGACCTGCATTCGTTCTCGCTACTTCTGCCTGCAAGAGGCTCTCAGATGGCTCCGAGATGGTGCCCCAAGACTCAGGAGAGTGTTCCAAAGGTTTTCAGGTTTTGCGGCTGTTCTGGTCGAACTCCAGAGGCGAGGGCCGCTGGATACTCCAGAATTCTGGGAACGTGTCCTGAGCCTCTCGCACCGTGACACCGCTTTGGAAGAAGCAGCTCTCGACGTGTACTGAGGCCGGTTTCCCGTATGTCAGCGACCTGACCCTGGCTGCCTGGTCCGTTGTGGCGAGGCCCAGGCTCGCTCCGCTGACCGTCGGTGTACTCGCCGTGTGTTTAGCTCGGGTCTTTGCAAGCACCCCCACGAGAAGTCGGTCCCCGTTTCCGTCGCACCGTGCATTCGAGAAAGCTAGCGTCTTCACATTATGTTTCCATTTCCTTTCGTACTCAGTTCCTTCCCCCCTCGACCCTCTTCCCTCTGTAGTCCCCCCCTCCCCTTGTTCCTGTTCGCGCCGTCGTTCCCTCCCTCCTTCTCTCGCGGTCACCCCGCTCAGCCTCCTGCTCGTAACCAGGGTGATTCCCGCTTCCCCTCCATGCATCTCCCTCGCCGCCGCCCTGTGCCGTCTCGCGCTTTGCTTCTCTGGAGGCTCCCGGGGGTCGCAAGAGGCTTCTTGTCTGCAGCATTCCCGCGGCCCAGGGGTCGCATAGCACAGAGGTGGCCATCAGCCCTCTCGGGCGCCTGCCTGGCAGACGACTCGGCCGCCAGCGCGGCGACCAAAGTGGAGGTGGCTTTCAGGCTCGGCCGCGGGTGCTCCTGGTTCAGGCCGGCCTTGCGGTAACTGCGCGGCCACGTGAGCACGGCCTTGCAGAAAAGCCTGCGGGATGGTTCCCCGAAAGAGCGCTGCGCTGCAGGTTTGCGCGATCGACTTGGAGCCCCTGCTGGAAAGCCGGCCAAAGTGCCCATGGAGCTGCGCAAGCACATCGTCGCACAGCGGGGCGCGTGTCGCGGCGTGATGGGATTTGGTGTTTTGGAATTTGTGCTCACTATGGGCTTCTGTCACTGACTGAGACCTGGGCGTAATCAGGGGTTCGCAGGAATTCGTTTTGCCCCGTGACTGGGATTGTGGGAGCGGTACCGCATTGTCCCGCGCGGGTAGCGCCGGATTCGCGCTTCGAGCGCGAACTTGGCGGCAACGTGGACGTTGTGCGTGGCCCGCGCGCGGAACGATTGCCACAGAGACACGGCGGAAATGGAAGCGCGGCGCGGCTGGGGAAAAGGAAACCTGGCGCCCCTGGATTCGTTTCCGCGTGACCGCCAAGAGGTGACGGGGGCCACATCCAAGGGCTAGAGTGCCGAAGTGGCCCTTGTCCGTGGCCGCCCTCAAGTTCATCACGCTGCGACGAGCGCCCCTCTGTGCGACGGCGTGCTTTTGACGGCCTCCCACCGTAGGCTCCATGTCGACCGCACGAGCCTTCAGCGCGACTGTTCCTCGTCGGAGGGTTTCCCGCAAGGCCGTGTCCACGCGGGCGCGCAGCTTCCACAAAACCGGCTGGAGCAGCACAAATCCCGCGGCCGAGCCAGAAGGCCACAACTTTTTGGCCGTCGCGGTGGCGGCCCAGCCGTCTGCCGGGCAGGCGCCCAGGCAGGCTCCTCCTCCTTCTTCTCTTCCTCCTCCTCCTCCTCCTCCTCCTCCTCCTCCTCCTCCTCCTCCTCCTCCTCCTCCTCCCCCTCCTGCTCCTCCTCCTCCTCCTCCTCCTCCTCCTCCTGCTCAAGAGGCCCCCGGCGGCCTCCAGAGGGGCACAGCGGGGGCGGGGCGATGCAGGCAGGAAGGACGGCAAGCACCCCGATCATGGTCACGAGGTGAAGCTAGATAACCGCGAGGGAGGGAGGCGGAGTAGCGGCGCGAGCAGGAGCAGCGGGAGGAGGGGGAGGCAGGGCGGAGGAGGAAACGCCGTTCTCAGGTAGCAGGGCATCCCCATGATCCTGCGGCACCGCTGCGTCCACGGTGCTCCAGGCCATTGATCTATCTGATTTCCCAGAACACCCAGAACAGTATAAGTATATAGCTGCACCTTCCCCGCCACTGTCTCTCCGCAGAAGGCTCAAGTGGCCTCCAGGAGGCTCTCAGGATGGCCCAGAAGGCTTCAGAGACTGACAAGAAGTGCGACAAGAAGTGCTGCTGCAGGTGTCCGTGCGCGCAGTGGCCGTCCTGGAGCCCTGGAGCCCTCGGGGCAGTCGTGAGGCCTTGTGCAACGTCGCTGCGCCTTGCAAAGCTGTCTGTCGGCTCTCTTGAGGCCCTGTTGGTCCGTCTTGGGATCCTCTCGGGGGTCTCTCGGGTGCTTCATCGGCCCTCTTGCGCGGCCTCGGCGAGCCCAAAGGCCGTTTGGGGTCTCCCTTGTGCAATCTTCGCGCCGTTCTGGGCCGTCTTGAAGATCCTTCTCCTCCTTTTCCTCCTCCTCCTCCTCCTCCTTCTGTTTCTCTACCCTCGTCCGCCTCGCCGCCGGGCGGGCTGCCCTGGCCGGGCGCTGCAGGCAGCCGGTCTGGGTGCTGCGGAAGAAGTGCACGCCGGGGGCGCGCGCGGCCAGCCTCCAGAAGTTCTACAGCGTCGCCGCGGGGCAGCGGGGCGCCCAGGAGTCAGGGGCTGCGTCAGGGTGGGATTGGCTCGGGGGGGGGGGGGACGGTGACAGGGGTGGATGCATCGGCCCCCAATCGCCCATGGCTCGCCGGCAGGGGCCCGATAGCCTGGACGCTGATGTTGATGTTGGTGGTGATGCTGCTTCTGTTGCTGCTGCTGCTGCTTCTGCTGCTGCTGCTGCTGATGATGACGATGATGATGATGATGATGATGATGATGATGATGATGATGATGGTGATGATGATGATGATGATGATATGCTCTTTGTGATGGTGATGGTGATGGTGATGATGTTGATGACGAGGATTATGTTTGTGACGACAATGTGGCCGATGATGAGGATTATGCTGGTGATAATCATGATGATGGTGAGAATGATGATGCTGCTGCTGATGATGATGAGCATGATGGCGCTGCTGATGACGATGATGATGACGATGATGATGATGCTGGTGATGAGTATGAGGATAACGAGGCTGGTGGCGATGAGGCTACGCTGATGCGATGGCGATGCTAATGATGCGGTTGTTTGTAGCGATGCTGGTGACGATGGTGATGCTACTGCTGGTGCGACTGCTGTAAATGACGCATATCATGGTGACGACTACCAGGCCGTTGACGATGATAATGATTTTGATCACGATGACGACGACGACGATGACGACGGCTACGACGACGATAATGTGAATGATGATGATGATGCTGATGACGATGATGACGATGTTTGGGAGATGACGATGATGATGATGATAATAATGTCGATGATGATGATGATGATGATGATGATGATGATGATGATGATGATGATGATGATGATACTGATGATGATGATGATGATGATGATGAGGATGCTAATGATGAGCATGATGATGACGATGATGATAATATTGACGATGCTTGCGATGGTGATGACGATGATAATGACGATGACGATGGCGATGATGACGACGCTGCTGATGATGATGATGATGATGATGATGGTGATGATGATGCTGATGGTTATGATGAGGATTATGACTACTATATTGATGGCCACGATGATGATGACGACGATGATGGTGATGCTGAGGATCATATTGATGTTGCCGATTATGATGCCGATTATGAGGATGATGATGAGGATGCTGTTGCTGATGATCAGAATGATTCGGCTGCTGATGCTGATGATGATGATGAGGCTGATGGTGCTGCTGATGCCGAAGATGCTGATTAATATGATGGTGCTGATGCTGATTATGATTGTGATGCTGATGATGATGCTGCTGCTGCTGCTGATGATGATGATGATGATGATGATGATTAGTGATGCTGCGGCTGATGCCGCTGATGATGATGATGATGATGATGATGATGATGATGATGATGGTGAGATGATGATGATGATGATGATGATGATGATGATGATGATGATGATGATGATGATGATGATGATGATGATGATGATGACGAGGATGATGATGCTGATGCTGATGCTGATGCTGATGCTGCTGGTGACGACGAGGATGATGATTATGATGGTCATGGTGAGGAGGAGGGTGATGATGCTGATGATGATGCTGCTGATGATGATGCTAATGACGACGATTATGATGATGATGATGGTGGTGATGGTGATGGTGATCATTGTGATGATGATGATGATGATGATGATGATGATGATGATGATGATGATGATGATGATTATGATGATGATGATGATGATGATGATGATGATGATGATGCTGATGGTGATGATGATGTTGATGATGATGATGCTGCTGCTGCTGATGACGATGACGATGACGATGATGATGACGATTATGATGATGATGATGATGATGATGATGATGATGATGATGATGATGATGATGGTGATGATGAGGATGATGGTTCTGCTGCTGATGCTGATGATGATGCTGGATGATGATGATTATGGTGATGGCAATGGCTATGAGGAGGACGATAATGATTTCGATGCTCATTACGACGATGTTGACGAATAGGGTGAGGCCGATGCTGGCTATGGACTGTGCATGGTGACGATGTGTTCGATTCTTCGGACTAGGTTTGCGATATGTTAACGAGGAATGATGGGGAGGGATGATGACGAAGAGGAGGATGTGGAATATTATTGACATGAGGACGCGAATGTGGAGGATGAGGAGGATAATGAGGAGGAGGAGGAGGAGGAGGAGGAGGAGGAGGAGGAGGAGGAGGATGAGAGTGAGGAGGAGGAGGAGGAGGAGGAGGAGGAGGAGGAGGAAGAGGAGGAGGACGAGGAGGAGGAGGAGAAGGAGGAGGCGGAGGGAGGGGCAGGCGGGGGATCAGGTCGCCCTTCCCCGAAACAGCATGAGACGATCAAAAAAAGATGCCATCCCTCCATCCTCGTCCTCACTCTCCGACGACGATGACGACGACGACCACGACTACGACCACGACCATGCCGACGACTACAACCACGACCACGACGCCGACGATCGACGACGACGACGATCGACGGCCACGACGACGTCGTCGTCGACGACGACGACGACGACTTCGACGACGACCACGATCACGACCACGACCACGAGCACGACCATGACCACGACCACGACGAGAGCCAGCGCCAGGCGCGCCCCGGCGCGCGGCCGGCCGGCGCTGGGCCAAGGCCGTTCCCGGTCGTCCCGAGCTTGTCCATTGACCAGGCTGGCGCGGCACACATAGGGGCCGATCGGCGCGCACTCAGAACTCTCATAGTATATACTCCGTTGCGGGCGCTTTCTAGCCATACCGCTCGAGAAACGATGTACTGTAAGATGCCTATTTCGTATGTTCAGTTCGGGCGTGCGCCTCCGAGGAGGGCGCATGGTACTACAGCCGGACCGAGGTGTAAGATCGAGGTCGGTTCGGGGCGGGTGCCCCAGTGTGCTTCGTGCTTGTCGGATGTTCTTCTGCATCCTGGGGAGGGTACCCTTTGATGTTCTGTCCGTTTTGGCCGACGGAGGGCTTCATGTTCTTGAAGGATGCTCTGCTGGCCTAGTCCCGCGTGTAGCACCTCCTCCTGCGACCCAGGGGATGTTGCCAGAGGTGCTCCTGGCCCAGGGGCCGCCGTCGCCGCACACGGAGTCCGTCACGGCCTGGGTGCGCAGCCCTGCCCTCTCCCTCTTCCGCGGGGTGCCCTCTCCCTCTCCGCGCTGCCCAGCGCGCAATTTGCCCAGCAGTGGCCCCGCTTCGGCTTCGAACGCGGTGTGCGATCGCCATCGCTTCGACGCAAAATGTTCTGGCCCGGCCCGGGGCGCCCCCCGCTTTTCGTGCCATGTCGGAGCACCTGGAGCTGGTTGGGCTTCGCGAGGGGTGCTCCAAAGGCGGTGAGGGGCTCCCCCCGGAGGCCTGGGGGTGCCTTGGGCCAGGGACACCTTTGGTAGCACCCGACAAGGGAGGAGGTGGGAAGGAAGAAAGGATGAGGGAAGGCAATCGAAAGACAAAATTTACTCAGAGAGCATGAGCTGTCCGAGGTCTGCGTGGTTTTTTTTGGGTCGGCGCTGGACCCCCTCCCCTGGCGGCGCCTCTGGCGCCTACTCAAGAAATCTGTGCGGACATTCAGAAGTTTCTTGTTGCAGAGGGCACCCCGCTTCTTGGAGGTCCTCCTGCTCTTTGCGAAGCCCTCTTGGAAGCCTCTGCCCTCCGACGTCGTGAGCAGTGACCACGGCGTCGCATGGTTACGTCCAGAGCCCTCGAACCCCCTCTTTCTGCACCAGGTTTCGGACCTCGCACCGATCCGTGAAAATCCCAATAGGGGCCCGACGCGGGGCAGCCCGTGCCGGCTGTGCTCATCTCCCCGGCCCGCGGCCCCTCCGACGACAAGCCCCCCCCTGGCCTTCTCAGAAGCCGCCCCCCCTCCCCCCTCGCCCCGCCCCCTGGTCGGGGGCGGCCAAGAGGGATTGATGACTAGAGTTAAGTCGGGCACGTCCCTCTACAGGAGGACTGTTCAGAAATAGTCTAAAAAGATAGTCTGGGGACGATTTTTTTTGATTATTTTTGAACCATCTTTGAATTTTTATTTTTCGTCCAAAATCCGCCTGTAGAGGGACACGCCCGACCTACGACAAGGGGGCGGGGTAGATATCGTGGCGGGGGCCATGATATCTCCCCAGATATCACGACGCCTCTCCTCATTTCAGCGCGTGCCCTGGCCCCCTCCTGGTCCGCGCGCGTGCTTCGGGCCGTGATTTGTACCCCCCCTCCCCAGACCCCCGACGTCATGATTTTTTCATGACTTCGACCCTAGTAGGTCTCGACCCATTCCCCTGGACCGGTTTTCCATCATAAGTAGTTTTTTGACGGTCTCGAGGGCCAGTAAGGGCCCCCCAGAGGCCGAAAATAGGAGAGAAACCTCCCGTAATGATTTTTTCATTGCCCGAGGGGGTCTGGGTTTGGGTCAGCCGCCAGCCAGAGGCCCTGGGGCCCTGGGGCCCTCGCGCGAACCAGACCGAGAGGCGCCGCAGAGCGCTGGGGTCCGGAGCGAGGAGGAGGGGGAGGAGAGGAGGAGAGAGGAGGAGGAGGAGGAGGAGGAGGAGGAGGAGGAGGAGGAGGAGGGAGGAGGAGGAGGAGGAGGAGGAGGGAGGAGGAGAAGGAGGAGGAGGAGGAGGAGGAGGAGGAGGAGGAGGAGGAGGAGGAGGAGGAGGAGGACATTTTTTTGACATTCGCTTCGGGGCTGCACTAAAGCTCATGCGCGTTCCTCGGACAGCAACTGACCCCCAGTCCATGCCTGGGGCGTTGCCAGTTCCGATTCGGCGCCAAGAACCCTACCCCAGGAGGAGGAGAGGAGGAGAAGGACATGCATGAAACAAAACTAGCCCGGGTTAAACGCTTCCCACCTTCTAATGGGCCGTTCCCAGGCCAGAACGGAATCAACGCAGAACTTCCCCAGAACGGGGCGGAGAATCCCATCCCACCCACCAATTATCCCCCACCCCAGACACGAGCAATCCCTGAACGCCAACTTGCAGGTTCGGACTTTCGGGCATGGCGAGACCATGGCAAGACCCGCCAGGGAAGGCCACTTGCTTTCGCCTGCGACCTGGCTGCCAATTCCTTGAACTGTCTGGAGGGAGGAAGGAGGGAGGGGGGAAGACTGAAGGACCAAGGGAAGGGGAAGGAGATCAAACTGCAATGCACTGGGGTAACTTTCTTTCCACATACTAATGGGAGGACCCCTAGCAAAGCGATACCTACCATCCCCCAAAAGGGTTGGAGAACATACTAGTGGATTACTTCGCCAGACTTTCCTGGTCCCCTGATAAGTAAGAATAAACTGGGCTGGAATACAACTGCCCTACTAGCGCATGACGAAGAAACTGCAAGTAAGCTACCTGCTTCAACAGTACTGCCGATCTGGCCAAAGGATACAAGACGTGTAAAGGTTAAAGAACGCTGGGTAGCTGACGAATGTCCTACCCAAACGCAGCGCTGACCAATACAAAATAAGGATTCTACCAGAAACCTGTAGCCAAAGAAACTTTGCTCACTAAGCCATTACTCAAGTTGCCTATTTTGCCCAAGATGCAATACAAGTTCTGCCGCTGAAATGAAAGTTGGATACTACCAACAACATTGAGCTCCAATTACTTTGAAGAGGTGGAGTCTGAGCTGGATCTGCTCCTCCGAGGAACAGGCGCACTGCCTGAAACTGTGTTTTGATTCTTAACACGATTGAGCTCTTCCTGCAGAGTCTCCAGCTTCTGCTGGAGGTGCTTGATCTTGATATCCTGGAGCCCACACTTGAGCTCCAGAAGTCTTGAATTGGACGGGGCTCATTCACTGGAAGGGGCGGCATCGCTGTGCCCAACCTTTGCACGCTTACTAGCGTGCTCTGGAGAAGTCGAACGTAGACTGTCGACATGTTTTCTACTGGCAGAAGGTGAATCGGACTCGCTACCGCTGTCCAAAACAACTGGAAGTTTGTCTTCCTTCTTGGTGATCTGAAACTTTACCTTAGGCTCCACTTTGAATTTCTCGCATACTGCCAAATAAAGATACTGTTCTTGCCCTTTGTACTTGTCCAAGAAATAGTCCAACTGATCCAGCATCTGAGGTTCGTACTGCTGGAAGACATCCGAGATCAATAGCTTGAACTGATGCCTGACTTTGGAATCCTGGCCCTGCTCTCTGTCGGCTTCTACCTGACCAGCGGCCTTATCTTTGGTATTAGACTTCACTGCCACAAGAGGCGGCGGTGCTGGCTGCGCCTTCTCAATGTCGGCTTCTACCTGAACAGTGAGCTTATGTTTGGACTGAAACTTCTCCCTGCCAGCTGCTACCTCAGCATTGGGCCTTTCTGTGCGCCCAGACTTCGCTGCTGACGGTGGTGGCGGAGGTGGCGGGAGTGGCTGGGAACTCTTCCCATGCCAGGGGAAACCGCACTTACATAACGGCTGAGAAGCAATTCTATTAGGCCAGATCCAACAGTCTGGTCTGCCGCGCGGGCAAAGCAACTTATAATGCGAAACAACTGGAGCTCCTACTCCTTCTTTGCGAACCCAGGGCGTCCTGGAAGACATGGCGGCAACTGCGGCGTGTGGGTGTAGGCGAAAAAGGGGGGGCAAGGCTGCTCCTGCCCAGCTGGCTTGAGCGGTGGCAACTTGAGCCAAAATGGCTTGAGCCAAAATGGCTTGAGCCAAAATGGCTACGGGGGAGGAGGAGGAGGAGGAGGAGGAGGAGGAGGAGGAGGAGGAGGAGGAGGAGGAGGAGGAGGAGGAGGAGGAGCGAGGAAGGAGGAGGGGAGGAGGAGGAGGGATGGAGGAGGAGGGGGAGGAGGGAGAGGAGGAGGAGGAGGAGGAGCGAAGGAGAGGAGGAGGAGGGGGAGGAGGAGGGGGAGCGAGGAGGAGGAGGAGGAGGAGGAGGAGGAGGATGAGGCAGGATCGCAAACATGGATCAAGGGGGCGTGGATTAGCGACGGGTCTCGTTTCCAGGGGGAATCGCGGATTTCCGCCGCCGAGCGAGGCGGTCTGGCCGCGTTTTGGGGGGCGCACCTCGCTAATCCGATTTGGCGACCGCGCGTTGAATCCACGGATCGCTAATCCACGTTGACGCGCCCCCGATTCGCGGGGCGCGGGGCGCGGATTCTCGAGCGGCCCACAGCGGAAGCCCATGCCAAGAAGCATCCTGCTTGCCTCCCCAGACCCCCTCGGGCAAGGAAAAATCACGACGGGAGGTTTTTCTACTACTTTCGGCTTCTGGGGGTCCTTACCAGTCCTCAGGACCGTCAAACAACGACTCAGGATGAAAAACAAGTCCAGGGGGCTGGGTCGAGACTTCTAGGGGTCGACGCAATGAAAAAATCATGACGTCGGGGGTCTGGGTCCAGGGTGCCCCGGGTCTCTCGGGTTTCGATGGCTCTGCTCTGGAAGTGCGTGGCCTTCCCACACCAAAAAATCCAATGAACGTCCTGGGGTCTCAGGGTTGGTCTTCTTGTGGAAGGCTTCTGGTGGTCGGGCTCCTACTGTAGGTCTCGCGCGCCGCCAGCACAGGTAGGGCGCAAGAAGGGGGCGGCGCCAGGGGGCAGCCTTCAAGGAGGAATATTCCCAAATGGTCAAACAATGGCATGGGGATGATTTTTCTAAGATTTTTGATGATTTCCGAGTATGTTTTGTTATTTCTTATTTCTCGTCGAAAATCCGCCTGTAGGAGGACATGCCCGACCTAAGGCTTCTTGGAGGCCTTCCTGCCCTTTTAGAGGCCTTCGACCCCTGCGAGGGACGCCCCCTTTTGCCCTCGCGAGGCAGGTTGGCGCCGAGGAGAAGCGCCGGCGACCACTCACGCCAGCGTGCAAGGTTGAACGCCGCCGATGGCCCGAAACTGGCCGTATCGAACGATCTGCGCTATCAGAGGGCCGCGATCGTTCAAGGTTGAACGGCCCGCGCGGTGTCAGGGGCCAACGCCGACATCGTCGCGGCACGGGCCTGCCGTGCAGTGCTGCCTCCCCCCCCCGCCCTGCGGTCAGGGGCAGGGCCCGGGAGGGATAGGCTCAGGAATGATGCATCGATCCCCCTCGCCCAATAATCGCCGACGCGGGCCCGATAGCCCATCGGGCCGAACGAAAGCGGGGGAAAGGGAAAGGGGGGTGGTACAAAATCTGCTGCATGCAGCTGGTTTCGGCCCCGCCGCCGGGCCCATTCCTCGATACGTGGGCGCCTCCCGGCGCCGGGAAGCGCAGGGAAAATCAGCTACGTGAGCTGATTCTCTACCCTACCCTTTGCTATCTCTTCCTTTCGTTCCCCACGAGCCCATCCCGCCGAGGAATGTGCGGATCTGCCATCGGCGGCGCAGCGCCGAGTTATCGGCGAGGTATGGCCGATTCCAGCTCGATGTCCCCCCTGAGCCAGTGATCCTCGTCGTCTTCTTGCCGGACCACGACTCGGATCTCTGGCGGCCGCTCGGGAGGATCTAGACATCGCCGGACGCCTCTCGGCGAGGCGCAGCTGCTGGAGAGCACCCCGAGGCTGGAACACCACCGATAGGGGGCCACATGCGAACCCTACCCCTACCCCCACGATTTCTGAGGGGGAGGGTGGGGTAGGGTTCGCAGGTGGCCTCCTGCCCGAGCACCCACGAAGACGTTTGAGAGCCTCGAGCCTCGAACGCCCGCCCCCCCCCTGTCGTTCTCCCCCCCCCCCTCTGCGCCGCCTCCCCCCTGAGCCAGTCCTCCCCGAGCGCTCCCCCTCACCAAGCTCGCGGGGGTTCGCAGGAAGGGGGGTTATCTCCCAAGGAGGGGCCAGGGAACGAATCCAGCTGGATGCTCACGCTCCTTCCAGGAGCCGCTTAGAGTGAGGTCGGGCATGTCCTCCTACAGGCGGATTTTGGACCAAAGATGAAACATATTCAAAATATGATCCAAACTAGTCAGAAAATAATGCAACATTCGTTCCCATTTTTTCCTTGTTCTTCCTGTAGAGTGACACGCCACGCCCGACTTCAGCTTAGAGCGATTTTCCTCCCAACCCCACCTCCCCTCCAGACGTCCCCCCTCTCACCGAGTGAGGGCGCCCTCTCGGGCGGCTTGCGGGGGAGCCCGTCGCTGCTCGGAGAGCGTCCCTCCCCGCCGTTCCCTCCTGTGCCGGTCCCCCCCTGGAGCCGGTCCGCCCCGAGCGTTTCGACTACACATAAAAGTGACCCTTCGCCGGAGTGACCTTTGTCATGGCGCCAACATCGCAGAGCGGATTTCGTTCGATAGGATGGGCCTGGAGTGTCCTGGAGAATGTCGTTCCGGATTTCGAAGTGAATTTCGTGCCCCTCGATGAATGAAGATAACAAAACATTCACGTGGAATTCACTTCGTTTTTCACTTGCTATTTCGGGGTTATGCAATGATAGAAATCCACGCAGAAATCCACTGCAGCACGTCTGCAAGGTCGGTGCAGTGACCTTTGATGCGGGCCCAGTGGCGTCCCCCAATCGCCGAGCGCGAAGCGGTAGCAGCGGCGTGCGCGCCCAGGTTTGGCCCCCCCGCGGCCCCCAAGGAGCCGCGCACCTAAGGTCACTCTTACTCAGGGTCGCTCCTGCTTGTAGCCGAACGTTCCCCCTCACCAAGTGAGGGCGCCCTCTCGGGCGGCTCGCGGTGGGGCCCGTCGCCGCTCGGCGAGCTTGGGTCGTCGTCGAGCGTCGATCGTCGAGGGTTATCACCGTCGTTGTCGTCGTCGTCATCGTCGTCGTCGTCGCCGTCGTCGTCGTCGATCGACGCCCTGCTTTCATATGTGGCGATGCGAGCACCAGTTTTCCAAAGTCTTGGGCGGCGGCTGGCAGAGTATGGCTATGGACCCAGAGTGGTTGGCCGATCTCAAAGAATTTGGAATGAATCGACAGCCTCAACTTCTGACTTCAGATCTGGGCCAGCACGCCTTGCCTGCATTCGGGCTTCCGCTTCTGATGTTCCAACCTACTTCAGCCTTGATCACCAGAAAGAATTTCGAGCACGCACCAAGAAAGTACCGAAACTGGAGGGTTGTCACGTGCCAGGCCCTGGGAAGCGATACTCGATCGACACTGTTTCGATACTCTTCGGGGTGCTCGAAATTAGTTTTAGGATGTGGTCCTTAAGTTTGATGGGGGCAACAGAAGCTTCCGCACGCCTCAGGGTAAGCAGGGTCACGGACGAATGAGCGTCGTCGATCGTCGTCGTCGATCGTTCCCGCCACGCGCCGGCCAGCAGGCGCACGCGGAGCACCTGCGAAGATTCACAGGCAGTTTCGCGGACGGCAGGCGCGCGCGCGTCCGCCGCGGGAGGAGGGGTCCTCCTCCTCCTCCTCCTCCTCGGCCTCCTCCTCCTCCTGCTCCTCCTCCTCCTCCTCGTCATTCTTAACCTCCTCCTCCTCCTCCGTAGCCATTTTGGCTCAAGATGCAGGTTTCCCTTGGGAACCAAGCGGATACCGTTAGTCCGCGGCTGGCAAGACGTCTTGAAGTCTGGTGTTCTTTCTCGTCCGCCTTCCCTGCGCTTGGGACGGTGGGTAAACGGGGGTGTTTCCCGTTCCTGTCGGTCCGATCGCACCAGGGTCTCCAGTCATGGCCGCCGCCACCACGCACCAGCTCTCGTCCCAGGACGCTGCCGCCATCGACGTCTGCCCCACGTTCGCCACGCAGGAGCCTGCGCTCCCGCCCGCTGGGGGCTCTGGCAAAGGTGGTCGTGGTGCTTCTCTCACTGGTGGCTCTTCTCCTCCGGGCGGTTTCGGCAAGTTCGTTTCCCGCAAGCGTGCTGCCGCCTCTGATGAAGGCGATCAGGAGGCTGAGGATGCGTACGTGTCAGGCGACTACGTACGCCAAGTGTGCATGGACCTCTTCCCGACCTTGTTGGAGGGTGTCAAGGAAGATCTGGCGAACTCGGTCAAAACATGTGTCACCGACCACGTCGCTTCGGCCAACGGCAAGATGCTGGCCCTTGTCGACCAGCTGCGGAACGAGCTTGCGGGTCAACCTCCGGCGCTCGACCAACAGATTCGGAGTTTTTCGGCGGAGTGTGGATGATGCTTCTCGTCGGCTTCAGGAGCGGATTGATGTGTGCACAGGCACGCTGCAGGATCATGGTGGTCGTATTTCGTCGATTGAGGGAGATGTGGACGAGCTCAAGAAGCAGATGCGTGAGCTCCGTGACCAGCTCGCCCTGGCTGAGAAGCGTCCCCAGGTCCCGCTGGCTGTCCCGCAGGGCTTCGAGCGCGACGTCGACGCCGCGGTGGTTATCATCATGTGCCAGGCTGCCACCACCAAGCAGCTCGTGTGTGCGGCGCTCAAGGAGTTGCTTGACGAGCTCGGCTTCCCCGAGTCAGACTACGAGATTTCTCCCGTGGGGCAGGCGCCCTGCAAGAAGTTCAGCCTCAAGTTCGGCGGCCTTGTCGCCGTTGCCTCGCGCAAGGTCCTTCGTGTTCTTTCTCGTCTGCGTGTTGATGGTGTGTGTAAGGAGTTCCACGTGGACGTACCAGGCGCCGCTCGCGCGCGCGTGCACCTCGGCCCAGACAAGAACCCTCGCCAGATCAAAACTGAGATGCTGCTCCGCCGTTGTCGCTCCGCCATCGCCGAAGCCCACCCCGACCTCCGTCTCTTCAGTGACCGCGACCGTGGCGCGCTCTCGGTTGGGTGGGACAGGATCCTCCGTGTCGAGGTTGCCGCAGGTGCTGCGCCTGCGACCATCTTGTGGGGCCCCGCGGCTCTCCAGAGGCACAACGTGTGCAATATCGACCTCGTGCAGCTCACGCGCCACCTCGTTGCGCCGCAAGCTGAGCCTCAGTGGTGTCTTTGTTGTTGCGACGCTATTCAAATGCTCTGCTCCTGTACCTGGTGGTGCGATTCCCCCGCTGCGTGTAGTGACTTGCAATGCTAGGGCTCTCTTGCAAGCGGCTGGGGCTAGAGCCGCACTCAAGAGGAGGTGCGTCGAGAAGCTGAGCATCGGCAAGAGTATTTTTTCCTCTCTCTCTCTCTCTCTCTCTTTCCAGGAGGTTCGGCCAGATGCTGGACAACTCAGAGACTTCACTCGGGGTATCGATCCTTCGGTCACTATTCGCGTTTTTTTTTTGTGGCGGCGCTCCCGGAGGCCGTGTTCGTGGTGGTGTTGCTGTCCTCCTTCCTGCTATCAGCACGGTGGGCGGTCGCCCCGTTCAGAGCCGTGCTGTCCCACTGGTGGCTGGGCGCGTCATCCATGTGGTGGTCGAGGTCGCGGACATCCAGCTCGACATCTTCAGTGTTCACAACCGCGTGCGCACGGCTATGCAGGCCGCGGCGGTGGCGCGGGTCACTCGCAGTGCTCGGGCCTGTGCGGCCAGGGATCCCACCGAGCGCCTCGTCATTGTCAGCGGGGACTTCAACTTCGCGGCGGAGGAGGCCGTGGTCCTGCACATGCCGCAGGCGGCGGTCCGCCGCGCCGCTCGGCGGCGCCGCGCGCAGGCGCCCGCCTGGCGTCGCGCGCTTGCAGAACTGCTGGAGGTGGGGTGCACGGCGCCCGCCCGTTACGAAAAACGCCAGCAACTCCGAAGCGTGCATCGATCGTTTCTCCCTATCGTGCCCTGGGTGGATGTTACGCCAGTTATTCCTTCAAGCTGACATTATCGGTACGGCCGCTGAGGTATCGGATTTTCTTATGTCGGACCATGCTGAAATTGCTCTCTCTATCTCGCCGAGGCGCCCCCGTCCCATCGACGCGCGGCCGATCGACCGTCGTGTGTTCCAGGACTCGTTCTATCGTCAGCGGCTGCGCGCCCTCGTCGAATGTGCCGACCCGCCTCGTCTCTTCCCACGTCGCCGCCTCGAGCGTTATAAAGAGCTGCTTCGCGTCGCCGCTGGAGAGACTCGTGATCGTCTATTTCGTGCGCATCCCCACCGTCCACGTGCTCTTTTTCAGCTTGCACGTTCGATCGCTCGGTGGTGTGTGTGTGTGTGGAGGCAGGAAATTGATCTCGGGGAAAAACTACTCCGCTCTCATCCCGTGGCATCCGACTTCCTGGTGGTTGAGTTCGGTGCAGTACGATTGCGTCACCCCGAAGCGTTCTTGGCCTGGTCTGATCGAGTTCAGTGTGAGGCGGCGGAGGCTGCTCGTACCGAGCTTCGCAAGCAGTGCGAGGCCGATGGCGAGTCGCCTCAGGTTTGGGCCCAGCTGCAGGCGTTGGAGAGGCGTGCGAGGATTTGGTTTCCTCTCAACCGTCGGGTCTCGTTCGCCGCTGTCACTGCGGCGGATCGCTCACCCGCGTCTACGCCCAAGGAGAGGCTCGCGTGCCTCCGTGAGTTCGGGGCACTTGTTTTCTCGAAGAAGGCGTGGGGCGAGACTGCGGCGATGCCCGGCGCCCGCGAGTTGCCCCCTCCCGTCGGTGACCTCGCCCCCCCGCCCCCTTCGTTCAAGATGGTGAAGTCGGTTCTCGCTCGCGCTCCACACTCGGCCACTGGTGAAGACGGGCTCCCCTATGCGGCCTGGCAGGCTGACCCTTTCTGGCCTCGGGGTCCTCTGGGCCTGCCTCGAGCGGGTCTCATCAGGCCAGTTCCCATTTGATGTTGCGAGTGCGACCAAACAAGCGTTCCCCCCGAAAAAACATCGATGACGACGAGCTGCAGAGTGGCTCGTGCACGCGTTCCCCCGACAAGGTTCGTGTTCTAGGACTACGGAGCTGTGATGTCAATTTACTTTCTGCCACTATGCACCTATCTATACGACCTGTTCTTGATCGCGTTGTTCCTGTCTGCCAACGGGGCTTCTTTCCCGGGAGGAACTTTGGCCTGGATGTATTGGAGCTGGGCGCCGCCAGCAGGACATTTCCCCTTTCTCCCTTCCGACTCCCAGGACGTCCCGACCCTCTTCTCTCTGGCCTTCGGCCAAGCCTTCCAGTCCCTGAGCCAGGGCCACCTCATGCTCGTCCTCTCCTCGCTCCAGCTGCCGCCTGCCATCCTGGTCTTCGTCTCATTCCTATGCTCAGCGATCGAGGGTGTCGCTGTGGTGGCGGGGCAAATCTCGCATCTCTACTGGGTCCGAAGTGGGATTCTCCAAGGGTGTGCACTATCGGGCTCGCTCTGCGCGCTCGCCTCCTCGCCCTTCCTCGTCGACTTGGCCTCTCGGATCGACGCTCGTGGGTCTGGGGTCATTCGTGCACGTGCTGATGATATTGATGGGGCGCTTCGTGGTGCCCGGTATCTTAAGGATATTCACGATGTGATGACAATGGCTGACCGCTTTGCGACCCTAGCACTCAAGACGCAGAGTTGCAAATTGGTGCCGTTATCTGAGGCCTTTAGTGGCAATCCGAAGAGTCGCCTGCGGGGCTGTATTTGGTTTGCCGCCCCTGGCTGGGCCTCGTTCGAGATCGTTGAGTCGCGCCTGTACTTGGGTGTCTGGCTTGGTCCCGCTGTTGATCCTGAAAGGCTCCGGAGAGACCCGATCACCCAACTCCGTCTTCGGGCTCGTGCTCTTAGCGTAGGCCTCGCCCCTGCTTCTATGTCTGCGAGCAGTTACAATTCAAGAATTGTCACGACACTCTCGTGCATTGCTCAATTCTGCTGGCACCCGAGGGATGCTCTCCGCTTGGATATGGGCGTCCTAGCACAGGTCTTTCGAGTGGCGCTCGGCACCTTCACGGCCGACGCGTGGTCCCACATCGAGGAGTGATGCGGGCCTCGCGTGGTGCGTTGGCCCCGTCTCAACGCGGCTTCGATGCTGCGCGCGGCGCTGATTACCTTCCCTCAGTACAGCGAGGTCCTGTCCAGCCTGCAGTCGCACGAGGAGGCGCACGTCGCGGACCAGTCGCTCCTGATGCTCAGCTCTGGGCGGTACTACCCAACCCGCTGGCGCTCCCCCCGTCTCGTGGAGAACTTGCATGCTGTTGCTGTCGGGTGCCCGCCGCCTGGGTCGTGGGTGGGCTTGCTTGCCTGCGGTCGCCCTGCCGCCTGCGATGCCCTCGCCCAGTCTCCCGTGGTGCGTCCTCGCCCTTAGAGGGCTGCGCATCGGGCGATGCGTGAACATGCTGGCAGTGTGGCTCCTCTCCGTGACCATCTTCGACGGCGTCTCCTCAAGTTTGTGGGTGCGAGGCCTGACCTGATCGACGCGGTCGAGTGGAACGACGTCGGCCTGCTCCTCAGGCGCTGCCCTTGCTCCTGGGCATGGGCGGCGCTCCGCGCCTGGCGCGGCGGCTGGCTCACCTCCTCGCGGATTCAGCGCTCATGTGGGAGGTGGGAGGAGATGTTGTGCGTGCGGATGCCTGGCACATCGTGACGCGCTTGCACAGTATCTTCGTTGC